GCAGGTCAGAGCAGAGAAGAGTAGGACAGGGGAGGGCAGGGCAGGACAGGGGCAGGGGAGGGCAGAGCATGGGCAGGGGTGAGGGCAGGGCAGGGGTGGGGCAGGAGCAGGGCAGAGGGGGCAAGACAGAGTAGGGCAGAGTAGAGCAGGACAGGACAGGGGCAAGCTGTCAGCACCTGTGCCACTGGGGATGGCCCGCTGTGTGACCACTGGTGATGTGTTACTGTCTTTTCCTCATTGTTGGTGCTGAAGAGGGACACTCTTATTTCTGTCCCTTATTGGTTCTTAGAGCGGATCTTTAGAGGGCCTACTTCTGGAAGCATCCCTTATGACCCCCCCCAAGCCTCCAGCTATTGTTTTAACTTGTTTAACTTGCATGGTGATGAAGGTGCCATTAGCTTGGGACATTAATTAACATTAATTTTGATTGTGAGATGGTTTTCATTTAAAAGTAAACTGAAGCCGGGCTCAGTGGCTCAGTCTGTAATCCCGTGCCTTTGGGAGACTGAGGTGAGTGAATTGCCTGAGCCCGCGGGTTCGAGACCTGCTTGGGCAGCGGGACCTCATCTCTTCAATAAATCAAAAAATCAGCCAAGCATGGTAGCGCATGCCTGTAATTCCGGCTACTCGGAAGGCTGAGGCGGAAGGATCGCTGGAGCCCAGCAGGTCGAGGCTGCAGTGGCCGGGAGTGGCCACTGCACTCCAGTCTGGGCGACAGAGTGAGACTCCAACTCAAAAATAAATAAATAAATAAAAAATAAAAGTAAACTGAGTTACCAGATGAGCCTAGGAAAATGCATACAAGACTCCACATCTCCAGAGAACACACAGAGGATGTTTGGCTCATTGGAGGCCGTGAGAGAAGCCTCTGTCAGCCCACCCATCTTGGCGGCTCCTGGGCAGGCGCTCTGGCTGGCTCACACTTCAGCTGTGCTTACCTGTGTGAACACCACATCCCTGTTCCTCTCTGTTGCTTTTTGAAATGAAAATTTATCCAGGTGCCCTGGCAGGGCATCTGGGAGAGCTGCCTGTCCATCCGGCGGCGACTTTTAAGTCTGTTTGTCTGTGGCTCCAGGAAGGATGAGCCCAGGCTCACAGCACACACAAGATACCGAGGTTTCCTCTCTGGCGTATCCCATCTGTGACCTGGCTGGTGAATTATAAAACACTGCATCTCAGGGACTATGGCTAGTGTTCTTGTCACCTCTCACTGAGGATGCTCTTGGATGCTCTGTGCAGTAGCATGTCTCTTGGAAAAACCTCTGCATGTCCTGGATATTTCTTGTTGTTTTTGCAGGCAATAATATTTCCTTGGTCTGGGAAAATTGGGCCTGGTGACCTGTCACCAGTGCTGTGAGAGCATGGTCTGTCTGTCCCTGGCTCTTTTGTTCCCAGCAGAGTTGGGAGCAGGAATGTGACAGTCCTGCTGACTGCTTCTGTCATGTAGCCTGAGCACTCGGCCCTTTGCCTTCGCCTTTGCTGGTGGTCACTAGAGGGAGCCGCCTCCAGTGGAGAGAGAAAGGGTCAACCCTGGCCTTCTGAAAGGACGGGCCCCCCAGAGCCTGTTGTGGACAAACCGATCCTTGTCCCCACTCCTAGGACAAGAGAGAGTCTTCACTTCTGACTTTAGAAACAAAAAAAAAAAAAGAAACTTTATTGGCAGAGGGCTGAGAATGGTTGTGGGTGACATCTTGCTGTGACTCCATGTCCGCCTGGCTCCCCACTCTTTGCTCATGAGTCACACCTGCAGATGCAGAACAGAGCCCTGTGACATGACAGACTGAAAAGGGAGTACCTGGTACCGAGCACCTGCAGGGCTCTCCCTGGCTGACCGTTTCCCCTGGTTGACCATTCCCCCCGATTGACCCTTCTCCCTGGCTGACCCTTCCCCCCAGTTGACCCTTCTCCCTGACTGACCCTTTCCCCCTGCCCATTCTCCAGTCTTTTATGCTAATCTCATTTTTGCTTGCCATCTGGTTGTACCCGTTTAGATGCATTTCTAAACAGTTGTCGACTTGCCTGATTTTGACTTTTATGTAAATGAAATCATACTTCCCCTTTTCTGTTTTGTTTCTTTTGTTATACACTATGCTCCTGTAAGATGCGTTCTTGTGTGCTGTTTGCTCATTTGTTTGCTGTGTGATGTTCTACTGTGTGCATGAACATGGTTTCATTATCCCTTCTGTGCTAATGGACTTCTGGGCTGTTTTTGGTGTGGGGCTGTTACGACCTTGCTGTGAACATTCGTGCATATGTATCGTGGCTCTTAGTAGAGTCAAACAGGAAGTAAAAGGGCCTTTTTTGAAAAACTCTGTGTGTCGCAGTTAGCTTGCTGCCTGGGATGACCTTGGCGGGGATGGCTAGGCTGTATGTTGTCCCTCATTCTCCAGCCGCCAATTGGGGCTTTTCTCATAGAGGTGGAGGATTAAGAGAGGAATTGGAAAGAGGCACTTTCAAGCCTCTGTTTGGATTAAATTTGCTACTGTCCTGTTGGCCAAACCAAATCACTGGCCAGCTCCAGAGTCAAGGAGGTAAGGGACTTGTTACAGGGCAGAGGATGTGGCTTCAGAGAGACATTACCTGGAATCACAAGTGAGTCATCTCCCATGAGGGTTTTGGTAGAATTTCCAGGATTTTGCCAACTCAGCAGTAGCTCCTGGGTGGAGGCAGCACCAGGTGTGGAGCCTGCCCACCCCTCCTTGGAGCTTCATGGCTACACCTCTTGTCCTGGCACCCAGGTCTTGAAGGCTGTTGCGTCATTAGCCACCTTCTGCAACTGGTGGCTGTGGCTGATTTTTTTGGCTGCTTTTGTTATTTTTGCTCATGAGATTTTGGAGAAAGGACAATCTCTAATGAGGTGTCAGCCTGCTGTGTTTACTTGGAAGTCCCAGAGAAAATCTTTGTTTTGACTCAATAGTCAAAGAGGTCTTTCAGACACAAATTCAGACATTTTTCTTCTGTGTTTACAACCTGCTGGCTTCTCCTTGCCCTTGGACTATAACCAGGTTCCTGGCCCCTGAGTCTTTGCTGGCTTCCTGACCTCCTTGTGTGCTGTTCCCTGGGCCTGCTCGGCGGTCATGAACTTATATGCGTCTTGCCTTGGTGGTCTTGGATTCGCGCGTGTCCCTGCCACGGCCCTTGACCACATGCCTCACTTTCCTGGATGTTCTTCCTGCACATCTTTGCGTGCTCCCCCCAGGTTTCAGATCTGGATGGGGCTCCCTGACCGTCGTCGGGGTCATGTGGGGTGTTACCTGTTCTCTCTAGCCTCTAGCTGTCTCCTGCTGTGTTCCTCCCAGGTGGCTGACCCTCTCTGGGAGCACCTGGCCTTCTTCCCTGTTCACCGTTATCTTGGTGAATGCTGTGCCAAGATAGGAGCTTTGCTTTGTTCATGACATGTGATGTGTATGAGGGGGTTTGGCATACAGTAGGGCTGTGATATTTCGTTGCTTTGAGGATGACTGATTCAATTCATTGGTACCCTTCTGCTAGTCTTTGAAATTAGCAAGTTATTCATTACACACACATACACTATATATATATATACACACACACACACACACACACACACACATACATATATATATGAGGAGGGATTTCCCAAAAACCCAAAATTATCTTTGAGAGGGTGAATGCCTTGTAGTATACCTGGAATTTGTTCTTCCAGATCAAACACTCAGCCAAAATTTTTATTTGGAAGTTTTGAGAAAGTTGTATCACGATTTGTGGAAGAGATGTCCTAGCGTGACAAACAGGTGCTTGGTTCTTCCACCATGACAGCTCACCTGCCCATTCCACGCTGAGCGTTCAGCCGTCTTTGACCAAAAGCGGCATGACCCTCCTGTCCTACCTTCCTTGTTCGCCCTGTCTTGTCCCGCAAGAAATCCCCAGAGGGGAACGTTCTGCTGATGTGGGAGAGGGGAAGCAAAAAACGGCAGATGCGCTAAAAGCATCAGAACTGGTGAGTTCAAAACCTGTTTTGAGCAGTGGAAAAAAAGTCTCGATAGGCATATTGCATCAGACAGAGAGTACTTGGAAGGTGGCTGCAGTTTAAATATGTGAGAATAAATACATCTCTTTTTTTTTTTTTTGAGTTGGAGTCTCACTTTGAGTTACAGTGGCACACTCACGTCCATCCTGGGCTCAGGCAGTCCTTCCACCTCAGCCTTCCAAGTAGCCGGAACTACAGGCACACACTACCACGCCTGCTAATTTTTTGATTTGTATTGTAGAGATGAGGTCTCACCGAATTACCCAGGCTGTTCTCGAACCCGTGGGCTCAGGCAGTCCCCTCACCTTGGCCTCCCAAAGTGCTAAGATTACAGGCTTGAGCAACTGTGCCCGGCCAATACATAATTTTTTATAAATAAATTCAGGGTTTTTTGCATCTCTCCTTGTGTGTGTGTGTGTGTGTGTATGAATGAATGAACTGGACCTTGGCTTTCTGTCCATTCTTGAAAGTGCAGTTCCGCGTGATATGGTCTTAAGTGAAATACAGGCACAAAGCAGAGAATAGGATTGAAATGACAACATTCATTTTCTAGGGGTTGTTCCTGCTCTTATTTTTTAGAGTAGGTTCTGTGAGGGTAGAGATGTTTTAAGAGTTTCATTGTTGCCGGGCTCAGTGGCTCAGCCTGTAATCCTGCGCCTTGGAAGGCTGAAGTGAGTGGATTGCCTGAGCCCGCAGGTTCAAGACCCGCTTGGAGAACTTGGTGAGACCTCATCTCTACAATAAATCAAAAAATTAGCCAGGTGTGGTAGTGCGCACCTGTAGTTCCAGCTACTTGGAAGACTGAGGTGGAAGGATCGCTGGAGCCCAGCAGGTTGAGGCTGCGGTGGCCGGTAGTGGCCACTGTACTCCAGTCTGGGCGACGGAGTGAGACTCCAACTCAAAAAACAAAAAACAAAAACAAAAACAAACAAACAAAAACAGAGTTCCATTGTTGAATTGTGTACATTCCCATAAAATCACTTTATTATGTAATCTTACTATCTTTGTATTTTTGCTCCTATCCAACTGGCAGATACTCAGTTGTCTCCATAGTTTTATTTTCATTATCCAGAGTAATAGGCTGAACTTAGGTTTGTTCAGTTTCATCAATGGACAGTGAAGAAAACTGGAACATTCCAGGGTGACTTTGCAAAGATCATATAATTTAATAAACACTAATAGCCAGGAGGAAAGCCCTTGTTCATCTGTTAGAGCTCCTGGACATTCTTTGTTAAGATGAAACACTTTAATATCCAGTGATCACTTTGGGGCAGAGTCCATGTTTATTGGTTTGTGACTTATTGCCTAAGCATGCTCCCCCTTCGCCTGAGTCTTGGGTCTCTGGGATGGTGTACTCTGCCCCTGGCACATCTCCATCTTCGTCTCTGTTGCCTCGGGGGAAGTGGACTCCCAGACCTTGGAGGCCTGAGACTCATTGAAGGAGCTGAGGTTTGTGGTTCTGAGTTTGCTGCATCTTGAGAGTTGTCAATACAAGCTTGGGAAGCTTGAGCGAGAGCTTGATTTTGAGGCATCTGAGGGGTGGGTTGCACTGAGAGGATTGCGCCATAGGAAATGCTGGAACACAGACTGTGCCCTGAGGCCAGTGGCTAAGACCAGAGGCTGTGCCCCTAGGCCAGTGGCTAAGCCCGGATCATGTGTCTGTCATTTGCTTGGACTCATTTTGACTATACATCATTGGATCTGGATTGTCTGTGATTTCTGTTATGGTTCCCCCTGGGACTTGTGGTGAGCTCTGTCTTCCTGTCTGTGCTGGCCTCATTCTCTGTCTGTGCTTCTTGCAGGGGTGCGGCCTGCTGGATGGTGGGACGCTGGAGGTTCTAGAGCGGCGCCTGCATGTGGGCGTGCACAACGGGCTGGGCTTTGTGCAGAGGCCACAGGTGGTTGTACTGGTGCCTGAGATGGATGTGACCTTGACACGCTCTGCCAGCTTCAGCAAGAAAGTGGGCTCCTCCTCCAAGACCAGGTACTTTCTTTGGGGTCCCCACAGCTGGGTGGGCATGTTTGAGGAATCACAATGAAATGAGGTTGTTTGTGCACGTGAGCTGTGGACACACCCATGTGGGAGTCCTTCCTTGTCAATGTTCTCAACTTTTGTGAAGTTGTACCCATTAGGACCAAACCTCCTGTTTTTGTGCGGTGGCAGTTTTGAAATTAGCATTATGGATACTTCCAGCTGTGGCCACCGAGGGTCTGTGAGATCCTTCATGCTGTCTTTCAGACGTGCCCTGCCACTGGTTTCCCATGTGATGGAGAACCAGAGGGCAACAAGTGCTGTCACTCACTTTCATCCAGTGCTTCCCAAATCAGGTGTCACTGACATGACCGCGGGGTGTCATGCCTCTTCTCTCTCTCATGATGCCAGATAGTGGACAGCTGTCCCCTACAGCAGCCCAGTCTTGGAGAAGGCACCTTTTTCTTCTCTGTGGTGTGTCCTGGGGAGACTTGGCTGTATTATCCCATCCTCCTGCAGACAAGCTCTGGCCATTTGGAAGAGACATTGATTGTGATACTTAAAAAGAAGCATTGGCTTAGGGAACTACACTGGGACCAAACTGCAGGGAAGAGCTTGAAGCATTGCACAGGTGGATTCATCACAGTTGCAGTGCCCTGGTGTCCCTGGGTCCCTGGGGTATCCCCTTTGCTGTCGCTGAGATGGTGGAGGTGGGTTTGGGGCAGGTTGGAAACCAGTGCTCTAATGTGCCCCTGACTTGTGCTTCTGACTCAGTTCTGGAAACCAAGCTCTGGTGTTGAGAAGCCGCCTCCGCCTCCCTGAGATGGTCCCTCACCCCGCGTTTGCAGTCATCTTCCAGCTGGAGTACGTGTTGAACAGCCCTGCAGGAGTGGACGGCAATGTAAGAGGCATCGCTTTGTGTTAGGTTTCCTTTGGACATGGGCTCCATGTGTTGGGGATAGGCATGGTTGGCATGATTGTGTTTTCCATGACAGCAGTGTAGTTATCAGCAATATGGACAAGTATGGACTAGGATTCTAGAAAACACTCCCTCCTGGTTATCACCTTGCTGCAGTCATTTCCTAGTTCCTTGGTATAGAAGCATTCTCGGTTTCTCCCATGGTGCTCTCACCACTTGCCTCTGACACCAGATGTGTGGGACTTCCCTCACATCAAGCTGCTGGTCGACTCTGCAGTAAACACCAGCTGGTATCCTCCAGTGCAGGTCCACCACTACCTACCTGGAGACAGTGTCAGGTCCCACAGGTTGGGGGCTCAGTCCACAGGCAGCCCCCACTCCTTGTCTAATTGCAGGCTCCAGGTTGTTTTACCTGTGCTTCTGACTGGTTGGCTATAAATTGGATTCCCACAACCCCCTACTTGGGTTCAACTAACTTGCTGGAGTGGCTCACAGAACTCTGGGAAATGCTTTATTTATGTTTACCAGTTTATGTTAAAGGATATTACACAGATGAAGAGATGGGTAGGACAAGGAATGTGGGTGGGTGCAGAGCTTCTGTGCCCTTTCTAGGGTCATTGTCCTCCAGGAGCGTCCATGTGCTTGACCATCTGGAAGCTCTCTGAGTTCCATCCTTTGGGTTTATATGGAAACTTCATTACATAGGCAAGGTTGATTAAATCAGCTGTTGGTGACCACTTTCAGCTCCTTTCCTCTTCCTGGAGGTTGGGAGGTGGACTGGAAGCCCCAGCTCTCTAATCCTGTCTTGCTCCTTCTGGTGACTAGCCCCATCCAGAACTCATGAATACCCCAAAAGACATCCCTTTGGAGATTCCAAGGATTCTGGGAGTTGTATGCCAGGAAAGGGGATGAAGACCAAATGTATATTTCACAATTATCACAAGTATATTCTGCTGGCTGGTAGTAATGAATAGGTCAATAAGTTTCATGTATCATAATAGCATTAATTCATAATTATTGATTGGAGGCCATTTTAATGTATTTTTTAATGTGGCATTAAATGTAGTAAAGCTTAAATTTGCACAAGTGATAAATGGCTTCTTATAGAGAATGATATATGTACCTATGTCGTAACTAAGAGTAAAAATTTATAGGTTCAGTTGGAAGAAATAAAATACATCATCATTTACACTGATATAGACTTTTTGGAATGCCCTAATTGCACTATTCTTGAGGTTCGGTTTTCTGTGTGAAAAAGCCAAGTCGTAGTCCTCCTTGTCCATGGGGGCTGTGTTCCAAGACCCCTGATAGATGCCTGGAACCTCAGTAGTGCTGAATCCATGGACAAGGAGGACTGCGATTTGGCCTTTTCACACAGAAAACTGAACCTCAAGAATAGCGCAATTTGGGCAACCTAAAGAGTCTGCATCAGTGTAAATGATGGTGCATTTTATTTCTTCCAACCGAATCTATAAATTTATAAATTAAATTAAATTAAGCACAGTAAGAGATTAACAGCAACAATTAACAATAAAATAGAACAGTTATAGCAATATACTGTAATAAAGCGAATGTAGTTTCTCTTAACCGCGGTGGGTGGGTAGTGTCTACAGTGTGGACACGCTGGACAAAGGGAGGGTTCACATCCTGTGCGGGACAGTGCCAGGTTTAAATGGCGTGCAATTTAAAGCTTATGAATTGCTTTCTGGAATTTTCCACTTAATATTTTCAGACTGGGGTTGACTGAGGGTAACTGAAATTGCAGAAAGCAAAACTGCAGATAAGAGGGGACTGCTGTATCTTCTTAACAAGTACTTTAAAAAATATGAAAAGGCCAACAAGATATCTTTGTAGTGCCCTGGCCTACGTCGTGACTGAGCAGTTTTTTCAGGAGTAGCCTATGAAGGAACGTGAGGTGCTGAGGACAGTCTTGGGGTATGCCACAGGAAGGAGCGGGGTGTGGGGCACCCCTGCCACCTGGTTCTAGACTCTGGCAGCAGTGGCTGAGCTCTCAGTGTCCATGCCTCACATCTGTGTGATGCCAAGTCTTCATTGGGCGCAGAAATCTAGGGGCACCATCTCAGCCATGGGAACAAAACTTTCTTCCTATTTTTGGCTTTTCTTTCCTGTGACCAGAAATCTCAGTTAAAATGCAGCTGTCTGCGGATCCCTTGAGAGGGGCATCCTAGGTGGGGTGCAGCTCATGGACAGGGATGGAGCTTCTGAGCTGGAGAGTGCCTGAGGGAGAAGTGGCCCCAGGGGGCCCGGGAAGCAGCATTGCCTGATGTGTGACGCCCAGGTGTGACTGACCAGTGTTGGGGGCTGTGGGGTTGTGGGGAGAGCAGGGAGGAGCAACAAGACCGGTGCCTTCGTGGGACTCCCCGCTGCCCTGGACGCCTCACGCACAGCTGCGCAGTGTCTTCTGGAGAATGCTGATTGCAGTTTACTTATACTTATAAAGTCTGTGTGCTGAGACCAAGATGCTCATGTGATACTTGATGAGTTTAACCCTTATTGAAGTGTCCGCCCAGGGGAGGCGGTTCCAAGGCTGTGCCCTTCACGGAGCTTCTGGAAGGCAGCTGTGCAGTTGCTCATTGGTTCCCTCTGATATGGCGATTAATCGTAACACAGAATGTTGGATTCCATTTTCCTATCATCACGGGTACTTTCTTTGGTGTAATCCAGAAATGTCTTCCCATACCAGTCACTTGCTGTGTGGAACGCTGAAAATGGGTGAAGCATCCGTGGGCAAAACTGGAATTGCCTGTCCCAACAGGAATGGTTGAGACGTTGGAGGAGAAAATCATAGTGCAGGGCCACCATCAGTGTGACGGGCAGGGACAAGCCCAGCGTGTGCCTCCATAGGCCTAGGGCGGCCCCAGGAGGGACACTCGTGCCTCAGCTGCCTTTGCCCCTTGGCGTCCTGTGTGTTTGCTTGCTGGAGATGGTTTCCTAGCCTTGCCTGCGACGCCAGGATCTTCTCCCACAGTGGCCTTGCCGCGTTCGTCACATGCTGTGTTTCTTTATTCCTAACGCCGGAAGAACCAGAATGCATGTACGGCATGTCCATCTGCTGGAGCGAGGTCTTTGAAGCTGTCAGGCTGCAGGCTGCTCGTTCCTCTCCCCTTGGTGAGGCTTCATGTGGTAGGAGTTTGGCGTGTAAACAAAAGCAGCTGGAGAGGGAGATAGACCTGTCACTTCCGTGATGACTGCTTTGTGGATAGTGGGCCGCGCCTGTGGCCTCTCCTATAGCCCATTCTGAATCATCTTGAAACAACTTCCAGGCATAATTCTCTTTCACCTGTAAACATTTTGGCACCTGCATTTCTTTTTTAAAAACGTTTTATTATGGGAAATTTCGAACATAACAGTAGAGAGAAGCACGTGATGAACGCCGTGTGCCCCGCCAGGACGAGATTTTTCAACCTTGGCCATCCTGACTCCGCTCCTCCTCTCCTGCTCTCATCCCCCAGGTTATCTGAGAGCAGTCCTAGACATCATTTCATTTCATCTGTAAATAGTTGACTGCGCATCTCCTAAAGAGAGGGGCTTCACAGTGCCACTGCGAGTACCGTTGTCACACCTACAAATTGATGTGAATTTCTCAGTATCGTTAAATATGCAGTCAGACTGGGTATGCATTTGTTAAGTATTTTGCTTAGTCAGAAATGGACAAACCCAACAGTGTCCTTTCTCTGGAAGCTGTTTTCTGACTGAAGTCTTTCTGCATGACCTGGGTAGCCCGTGTGTTTGCTTGCTGGAGATAGTTTCCTAGGGTTGCCTGTGATGCCAGGATCTCCTCCCATGATGGCCTTGCAATGTTCATCACATGCTGTGTTTTTTTATTCCTAATGTTGGAAGAACCAAAATGCACCAGGATTCTGGCGATGGCTTTACTCAGCCTTATGCCTCAGAGCAGAAGCAAAAAGCCATGGTCTCCTGAGGGCCTCTGCAAAGTACTTTGTCCTGAGATGGTATACATAGACTGCAGAGGCTGTCCTGGTGGGATGAGAAGGCTGCACAAACATGTATCCAGTTCACACCGATCTCCTGAGTCCAGGGAAGTTTTTTGGCCCTGGGTATTTTGTAGACGTTAAAAACAAACCAGTCCTTAAAAACAAAAAAAAGTTTTGAGAAGACACACCCGCTGTTTTTAATGTTTTGCCTTTTTGCATTTTTTAGTTAGCTGAAGTGACTAAAACCTTTTCATTGTAGTTTGAGTTTAGGTTGACTATAAAGAGCTAAAGTTCCTCCCGGCCAGACTACTGCTTTTCCAGGATTTTGGGGGCAGAGCAACCTGGTTAGATCGTCATGGGCTGCCTCTTGCTAATGCTGTACGTGTGCAAGTGTGAACTCCACAGATACTTGCTGACTGAGCGAATGACAACCCCCTCGAGCACAAGAGTGAAGTGCAGTGAGGGCACAGTTGCAGAAGTGACCAGACCTAGTGTCTTCGCTGCACTTTTATCAGAATGAGTGTACACCCTCTGGGACCTCCAGGGGAACACAGTTCTTTTTTTGCAGGTCACATGATAAGACAACTCCCTCTCCAAATCTCTAAGAGGTAGAGATTAACTGGTTTCATTTTTAATTTATGCATTAACTAGTATTCTTTGAACAAAACAAGTTTGTTTAACAGAAATTTCAGTGTTCATTGCTTTCAAGGTAGTGGCTGAAGTGCTGGGATACTGTGGTGTCACGTGTTTATTTATTTTAATTTTTTGTTTGTTTGTTTTTAGATAGAGGGTCTCACTCTGTCACCCAGGCTGGAGGACAGTGGTGAGATCAGAGCTCACTGCAGCCTCAAACTCCCAGACTTAAGCCTTCCCCTCGCTTCAGCCTCCTGAGTAGGTAGGACTACAGATGTGCACCATCACATCTGGCGAATTTTTTATTTTTTGTAGAGATGGGGGGCTCACTGTGTTGCCCAGGCTGATCTTGAACTCCTAGCCTCAAGTGATCCTCCTGCCTTGGCTTCCCCA